CTTCACCAGTTTCAAGGTGGGACTACAACACACACACACACACACACACACACACACACACACACACTCACGGTGAGGGGGGAGGCCCTAAACACACAAGTCCGGTAGAACCAGAGACCTGTGAGTGACAAAGCATGAGTTAGCCTCAGGGGAGGCTAATTGTTTCCTTAATTGCCTGAGACTGCCCCTGGAGAACCCCTGCCTGGAAAGTCCCCAGTTGTGCCTGCAGAAGATGGGGTGGGTCTGCCTGGCCGCCAATGAGCAGCTGGGAAGGGGCCTCACACACACACACACACACACACACACACACACACACACACACACACACACCAGAAGAGATTAGAAAAATGTTTCCAATAGACGCAGCTGTCTGTAAGAAGTGAGTGATTTGGCCACCTGCCCCTAAGCCCCGGAAGGGCGGCAGGGCCTCAGAGAGACACACTGGTCCCTGATCTAGGCTCTGCAGCCTTCCCTACACACATTGTACCCCGTCTGTCCCTGACCGCTGTGTCACTGCCCAACCCTGCTGCCGTTTGTGTCTGGGCCTAACCTGGCAAGGTGGTGGCCTCCGAGTGGCCCAGGTTCCTTAAAGGGGCAAGGGATGTGGGTGTGTGTGTGGGGGGGGGGTGATTCATTTGAGGACATTCCCATGTTAGCCACCAGGTGGCACCGTCGGCACAGAACAGTCCCAGGGCAGTCCATCACGGCCAGAAGGGAAATCCCCGTGGCAGAAGCACAGTTCTCAGCTTTGACTGCTGCTCCCTGGAACCTCCAGCAATTAGCTTCCTGGGTGGCGCTTGTTTCTTCCAGTGACACAGCCGTGTCAAGAGCCCCACAAGACTGCGTGGTGAACGTGGAAGAAATGTTGAAAATGCTGAAAAGGGAGCTACCTTTGTTTTTCATTATTTCTAGACATCCGTGTTATTCTTACTGTGGGTTTGCATTTAACAGGCAAAGCCCAGGTGCTGGTCCTAGACCCCCTGATCCCCTTTGCCACCTCCAAACAGCTAGTTTATCCTATTTTCTCATTGTATTTGTCGGATGAGAGTTAAGATGGCAGCTTTGATAGGGAAATCAGGGGAGCTGCAGGAGCACACAGAGCCAGAGGGCATTGTCGGGATCCCAGGCTCCTACCTGGCTGCTTCCTTGCTGTGGGGCTTGAGGCAAGTAGGTTGTACTCCCTGAATTGCATTTCCTAATCTGTAAATTAGGGGCGAGGATAATTCCTCCTACACAAGGTTTCTGTGCACACTTGAGAGCCTTTAAAACTAGGTCTGATATGGTAGGAACAGTCAAAGATATAGGGCAGCCTGGACTGAGAAGGGATTTGGAGATGGGCCAGCCTGGGCTCCTTGCCAGGGCAGGAACCGCCCATCAGCACAAGGGGTGATGGGTTCCAGATGGGCTTGCCTGCTTCCAGTGGCAGAGCGTCCATCCCCTCCTAGGTAAGGAGGTGGCCCACTGAGGGTCAGTTCATGATTGTATCCGTGTCCATTCCCAGAGTCATTGACGGTTCTCTTGCCGTGTTTGGTGAGGGTCCAATCAGACCCGTGAGGCTGTGGTCGGCTCAGTCGGAGGCCTGCACTACCTATCTGCAGATCAGCTACCTGGGGTCAGAGAGGGTCCTTCCCAAGTGCAAGCCCAGTGTGCCTAGGTCAGAAGGTTGCCCTTGCCACTCTTGGGCACATGAGGTACAGGAAAGACAGAAGGATGTCCCTGTGACACCCTAGACAGAAAGAAATGTTGTAGGACCAACAGACCAATAGAATGGATCACTCCTGTTTTAACCACCAGGTCAGGACAGAGGGCCTCTCTCGGCCGGGGTCTCCTTGCTGATAGATTTCTTGGGAGCTGGAGTCTTGGGGAGAAAACGGTGACATGAAGCTGGGTCAGGGCTGTGACTGCAAGGACCATGTGATTCCACGTTCCCCCATCTGCTTCCTCCTTCAGGGCTGTCCACTAAGCCCTCCTAGGAACCCCGCCTTACCTCGTTCCTTCCCTGACATCCCTCTTTGCTCTCTGTGCAATGCTCAGCTGGTACTCAGTCTAGTGCAGCTGTTTTAACCTGTGGGTCCGGCCCCCGGGTCACCTAGGATCATCAGAAAACCCAGATATTTATATTATGATTCATAACAGTAGGAAAGCAACAAAAATAATTTTATGGCCGGGTGGTGGTGGTGCACACCTTTAACCCCAGCACTCGGGAGGAAGAGGCAGGTGGATCTCTGTGAGTTCGAGGTGAGCCTGGTCTACAAGAGCGAGTTCCAGGACAGCCTCCAAAACAATTCAGAGGAACCCTGTCTCGAGAAAAAAAGAAAGAAAGAAAGAAAGAAACTACTTTGTCTTCCCTGTGTCTCAGTTTCTGCACCTGTAAAATGGGAGCAATCTGCGTACCTGCTGCATGGGATTGCCAGGAGCATTAATTAGAGATGAAAAGCCCGTGAAGAGTGTTCAGCATCAACAGCGAGGCTGGACCACACAATCATCCTAGGGTCCAGTATGGCTGGGGTTACTGCTGTTCCCTGTGGACGTGATTCCCCAGAGTTGAGCTTCTGTATCTGTTTGGGAGGCCAGTGCTTTGGGTAGCAGATGTGCCCTGTGACGTGCAAAGGGTGGATGGTGGGGTGAATGGGTGGATGAATAGTGAGACTCAAGCCACGGCCAAGAGGTGCTGTCTGTCCCCAGTGACACCGTCGACAAAGTCAATCTCAAAGGCACAGCCCAGAGCTGGGATGCCTCAATTCTTTCCCGTCTTCCTCTTCAATGTCTTTGGAGCCTTGGTTCCGTTTATTCACAGCCCCTGCCCAGGGCGCAGGCCAGGAAAAACCAACGGATGGAATGGAGCCTGGCTGGCCTGCCACTTACAGCCCTGGGTGACAGGGAGCCGCAAAGTTGTGACAACCATTAGGTTTCTGAATGGCTGTGGTTTGATTTCCTTCACATTGTCCCCTGGGTCTGTCCCTACCTCCTTCCAGGAGCTCAGGAGCCCCATAGCGTCTTAGCTTCCATGTTTGCCATCACAGCTGTGCCCCATTAGCGGTGATGGCAGTGTGGGTCTCGTCAGCCCCACCCAGAGCCCGGGCAGCACTTTGGCCTCTGAGCAATTTCCTTACCAGGCATGAAGTCTGCAGAGCTGAAGACCTGCAGGAGACAGAAGAGTGAATGGCTCGACGGGTGTGCAGCAGGGTCCCATGCGCCCCAGCTGCCCTGCAGCGTAGGTGCAGGTATGCTGTGAGGGACCAATGCTTTCTGCCCGGGATGATGAGCAGTGCCAAGCACTGGCAGGCAGGAGCAGCGAGCTGGCATCTGGGCAGGCATGGGGGCAGCGTTAGTGTTGGAGAAGCAGGGCTCTGAGCTTTATGCAGCCTGGCACTCAGGCACCTCCAGGTGCCAAGTCATGAGGAAACTCACAGAGGCACAGACTGAAGCCTTTAAAATGCTCCCTCTGTGAACCGAGGCATTAATGTGACGTCTATCACCATGGCACCGAAGTGCTTAGACAACCCGTTCCCCGCAGGAGCTGGGGAGCGGCATGAAGCAGATTATCCATGCTTCGCTGTGACACCAGTGATCATGGATCACCTTGATGGATCAACAGCCAATACCTCCTGGGTCCCAGCCCGCCCCTTCGCGATGTATCTTCTCCTGTTCCTGCGTCTTCCTCAGCGGGTGGGTGGCCTATGGCAGCTTGCCTCTGCACTCCAGCCTTGGGGTTCCTGCTCCCGAACACCCTGCAGCCTTATTGTTACTGTGCAGAGGCCAAAGGGAGGGGACTTAGGCAAGGCACCGGCACAAGCCCCGTGGTGACGTCGTGGGACCTGAGCCGTGTCCTCAGCCTCCACCGTGGCTGCAGAAATGGCAAAGAAAATTCAGGTATAAATCTGTCTAGCCTTGCAGTTCATGTCCCACAGGCTTGCCCATGTCGTGAACAACTCGTTTTATCTCTTCAGGCTCACGTTTCTCATTGGTTGGGTGGGGCCGTCCAGGGCTCTTCCAGGTTAGTGGGGCTAATGAGAAAGATCAGAGCTCAGCAGGTCTCGAACTCAGTTTCCTTCCTGCTGGTTTCCTCCACCTGCCCACTCAACCCCCACTACTCAGGTCACAGACAGACATAAGAGTTCTCCCAGCCAGGCGGTGGTGGCGCACGCCTTTAATTCCAGCTCTTGGGAGGCAGAGGTAAGCAGGTCTTTATGAGTTCGAGGCCAGCCTGGTCTACAGAGTGAGTTCCAGGACAGCCAAAGCTACACAGAGAAACCATGTCTCAAAAAAAGCCCCAAGAGTTCTCACTAGAGTCTGCCCATAGGCCACCACTGTCCCTTACTGGCACCTCTAGTGAGGTGGAGCAGTGACACAGAGCTGATGGGAAAACAGAGCCTGTGTCTCGTCTGGGGAGCAGGAGGTGAACTTAAGGGGAGCCACCAGGAGGAGTGGGGAGAATCGAGTTTCTCCAAAGGGCCTCACAGCCCTCGTTTGACATGTGCCTTCCCTCACCCCCGGAAGTGTCAGAGAACCCTCAGGTTCCCTCTGAGGCTGGGACAAGTGGCTTGCAGTCTGCCACCCATCCACTGCACCCCCTCCCCCACGCTCTAGCCACTCCTAACCCCAAACCCCCCATAAAACTCCACTCTTCAGGACACCCTATCTATGGAGGAGCTGCAGGGACACAGACGCAGAAACGTCTGAGCGGGTGGGACTGTGGCCAGTTTCAGGGTTTTAGAAGTGTAAGGCACTAGCCCAAGGAGCATGGTCACCACTGTTTCCTGGACAGGGTCCTCTACTGCAAGGGTAGAGGCCTAGGATCCCACCCCTAGCTCCTTTCCTACTGCGTGACTTGGATGAGTTGGATTCCCAGGCCACTTATCCGGTGGAACCCCCCACTAAGGCTGCTCCCCTGAGGGAAGTCAGGGTTCTGGAGAGGAACAGCTTGAGGAAGCAGAAAGTCATCCAGAGGAGGAACTTACACACACGGGGACACAAAAGGGAACTGAGGCTGCCGTCTGGGGCCACAGCCTCCAGTGAACCAAAGAGGAAGGAAAGATTTTTGATCCAGTCCGGCTCACGGTGGCGTCGTCAGATGGAGAGCTGGTGTCTGTGGTGTGGGGCCCGGGTGGGGTACCCGCACCCTCCCAGCTGGCTCCCAGCTCTGTGGTTCCTCCGTTTGCTGCTGGTGCCCTGGACTTGGCAGTTAGCAGGCAAGTCTGTCTCCTCCCCACGCCCTCTTGTTCGTGTACATCAGAGTGACTTTCATCTGTCGCAGCGGCGGCAGCTAATTCTCCGGACCTATCTCTGGGGACTTGCCGGTTGCGTTTGAACATCGTAGACTTCACAGAGGAAGCCGTTGGGGACTCGGGAGATGTTTAGCTAATGCCTCGCCAAGGTGGCGTTTGAAGGGGTGGGGGACAGTGCTGCACCTTCACCGCAGTGTTAACAGCTTCCCTGATGGTGTAGCTTGGGTCCTTAAACAAGGAGGGTGGGTGCTGGGTTTTGAGGTCAGGTGAGGGGTCTGTGGAACAAACAGCTCTTACATGGGCGCTGTGGTAGAGCCATCATGCTCAATCTGCCAGGTCACAAAGCTGCCCTGAGTGCTATTGTTGGTGGTTGGTTAACCATAGAGGACATAGGTAGGACAGTAGCCAGCCAGAGCATGGCGCCCGCCCGGGGGCCACAGTTAACTGTTAAAGCAACTGGAGAGGGCCACACTTCCCACTTCCTGAAACACAGCCAGAGGCCACAGGTTTTATGACCGGAGTGAGTCTCCCTAGGGCCAACACTGTTGCCTTTTCCTGGTTCCAGGCTCCCTTGGGATCTGGGAGGTCTGGATCCTGAGCAGGCTGTGGGGTAGGGGAGACTTTGTCCACGCCAGTGTACCTCTGAGCGTGTCCTTTCCCGGTAACCGGGAAACTAGCACCACTCCCTGGCAGTGCTGGGGAGGCTGTCAGGTTCAGTGTGCCCTTGCCCTGGCCTGGCCGGCCGCTGGCCCACGACTGACCCACGGCCACTCCACCGAGGAGGCTGTGCCCTCTCCCCTCTCAGTTTGACTTCTACTTGTTTTGTAAGACCGTGTGTGCCGTGGTGAGTGTGCAGAGGCCGGAGAACAACCTCGGGTGTCTATCCTTGCCTTCTGCCTTGTTTGAGACAGAATTTCTTTGTGTTTGTCACTGCTGAATAAGCGAGGCTGCCTGGCCTGCAAGCTTCTAAGGATTCTGTCTGGATGCCCCCCCCCCAATCTTGTGGCAGAAACAATAGAATTGATTATACACACATGCTACTAGGCTTTGTGTGAATTCCAGGGATTCCAACTCAGGTCCTTACACTTGTGCTGCTGCGAGCATTTTCCCACTGAGGCCTCTCCCCAGTGCCGCTTTGACTTTGAGGAGGTGACTAGGAGATGCTTCTGCCCTGATTGCGTCACATCTCCCTTTGTATTTATATCACAAACAATTATTCTGATAACGAGGAATTGGCTGGCGTTTATTGAGCTGTCCCATATAGACCCAGCACTGAATGTCCTCAACATCACTGCACTGACATGGAAACAAACCCATGGAGGTCTGTCAACACGTCTGAAGTCAGGCAGGAGAATAAAGGTCGGACTATAGGCTATGGATAGCCTCACAAGCAGCTTTGGCCCAGCCATAACCCTGCCAGCCTGGTGGCCTCTGCTGGTCCCGTTACTTTTCTTTGCAAAGAACATCCTTCAGAGGAGGATTTACCATGGGGCGGCAGGAGCCACCTCACGAAGTCTCTACGGCAGGCTGGGGTACAAACCCTGTGGCCTGTCTCCTTTAATGTTGTCTTGTACTGCTCGCCCCAGGCCTTTGGAAAAACAGCCAAAAGACAGACCGTACCTGTTGCTGAGTGTGTGTTTGAACTTATGCTTAAATGGGATGTTGAGACCTGTGCCTATAATCCCAGGATTTGGCAGTCTGAGACAGGAGAGTTGCTATTAGTGCCAGACTAGCTTGGGCCACAGAGTAAGACCCTGCCTCGACAACCCTCATTCCCCACCTTAAAAAAAGTAAAAAAGTCCCACTTTTTTGACTTACTGTCCCCCGAGTTCCCATCTTTTCTCGGTGCGGTTCTCCCCTCAAAGGCCAAGGACTTTGCTGGTCAAGCTACTGCAGCTTCGGGAAGCTGTTTTGAAAGAGGGTGAGCTACATACAAAAACAGAAACAGATTTTTGCCCTGTATTGCAACAAACCCTCTGCCACAGAGAAGCTCTTCCTGCTCTTGCATGAGAAGGGAAAGCCTGCTCCCTGTCTTCCGGAGCTGATTACAGCGACACACAGCTCCTCTTTTAGTCCCGCCCATTGTCTACCCCACCCCATGTCTATCACGGCTTCTGCCCTTCCCCCACACCAGTATCGCAGGCTTTAAGAGATCTCCCACACATGCTTGCAATGCAAGTTCTCTCTCTCTCTCTCTCTCTCTCTCTCTCTCTCTCTCTCTCTCTCTCTCTCTCTCTCTCTCTCTCTCTCTCCCTGGTTTGTGAAACAGGGCTTCCTAAACAGCCTCCAACTCATGACAATCCTCCTGTCTCAGCTTCCTTATGAGTGCTAGAATTACAGGCTTGCTGAGTCATCGCACCTGATTCTTTAAGAGTCCTTCTCTTGCCGGGCGTTGGTGGTGCGCGCCTTTAATCCCAGCACACGGGAGGCAGAGGCAGGCGGATCTCTGTGAGTTCGAGGCCAGCCTGGTCTACAGAGCGCGTTCCAGGACAGCCTCCAAAACAATGCAGAGAAACCCTGTCTCGAAAAACCAAAAAAAAAAAAAAAAAAAGAGTCCTTCTCTTGCTCCTCCCTCTCATCATCCTCATCCTCATCGTGTGGGTGTGTGGTGCAAGTGTTTCATGGTGTCTATATGTAGACAAGAGGACAACATTGTGGAGTCAGTTCTCTCCTTCCGCTTTTAGATGGGTTCTGGGGATCGGACTCAAGTCACCAAGATCGCACCACAAGTGCCTTCACCCACTGAGCCGTCTTGCTAGCTAGCGCTCCTTTCCTTTTTGAGGCGATTTCACTGTGTAGCCTGAACTTGTTATATAGCGCAGGCTGGCCAGGAATCAGTGTATTATAGCCCCAGCTGGCCTCAAACTCTCCGTCCATCCTCCTGCCTCAGTTTTTCAAATGCTGGGGATTCAAATGTTTCTTTCGACTTCCGTGTGACCTGGGGTGATCTGCTTGTTTCTGGGCCTCAGTGTCTCTGACAAATGTCAGTCCCTTTTCTCTTGAATGATTTTTAAGCTCTGGAGCTTTGCTGATTTCTCTCTCAAATACCCATGGAGGAGGAAGCAAATTGGAGTGTCTTACAGAGCCTCCGGGGCCACAGGTCTCTAGACTCCGCAGGGAACAGACACGAACAAGGCCCAGGCCCACTCTGTCTGTCGGGTGGAGATCATGAGGCTTGTCCTAGGAAACAGGACCCAGATGGAGTTCACGTGTGCATCTGACTGTGCTCTCTGGCCTCAGATGTCACCGCCCCCTTTGTTCCCAAACATGAATAGTTGTTCTGCTTCTGCGAGCGAAGGCTTCCTGCCTCCCTTCCTGCCCCTCCAGCCTCTGTCACCACTGGCCTCTGTCTTTCATCTTCGTTTAATCCCAATAAAGAGCTTGGGAGGCAGAGGCCTGCAGAGAGGCAGTGCAGTGCTGAGGTGGGCTCAGGGAGTGCGGGAAAGGCTGCCTGCTGGAGAGGGCACTGGCTGGGGGCTGGACCCCGAGCAGGGCAGAGCAGGCCAGTGGCGCACGGGCACAGCATGGATGAAGGCCAGAAGACAAAGCTGGGGAAAGAAACAGTGAGAGGCTCTGTTGACTGAAGAGGAGACTCTCCCAGGGCAGCGGGACGCCAGGCCGTTGCCGGCCGATTATGATGCCCATCAGGCGGGGAGGTTCAGATGCTGTCTCAATAGGTCCTATCCTCGATGCCTTTTTCATTGTGACTGCGAAATACAATACACATACTGAAAAGCGCAGTGATGAATAATAAATACTGTGACCCCCCCAAAAAAAGCGCAGTGTGATTAAGATGCGGAGCAAGAAAGAGAACATTCCGGAACATTCTTCCAGAGACACCGTCTCTCCCCTTAGAGGTATTGCTTTCTTCTGAATGATTATGGATGTGGGGGTGCTAGGTAACCCCGGACCTGTTTCTTTATACTTTCATCATTTAGCACAAAGTCACTTATGGCAGAGTAAAACGTTTGCCTGTTTTGTTCCAGGGCTGGGAATGAAAACTCGTACGCAATAAACAAGTGCAGGACCACTGAGCCTAGTTTGTGTGACTTTGAACTTGATGTGATTGCAATGCTACTGCGTATATTCTTCCATGGTGTCTCTTTGATTCAGCATTATGCCTTTTAAGGTGTATCCGGCTGATAAGAAGTAGGTGACATGCTTCCGCTACGGAGCAAGAGTAGCATGCGGTGGCCCCTAGACTAAATCCAGCTCTCCACCTCCTTGAAATGGCCTGAGAGTTATGAGTGTTTTTTTCATATTTTAAATAGTTTTGGGTGGGGGAAATCAAAAGACAAATATTTTCTGACATGAAAATTATGCCAAGTTCAAATTCCCATGTCCATAGCTAAGTTTTCCTGGGACACAGCAGAGCTTTGTGTTCGTAGACCATCTGTGACGGCAGAGTAGCTGGGACATAACCAATATGGCCCACAAGCCTGCCATGTTGTCTGGACACCTGCTGCAGAGTATCCTGCTAAGTGAGCACACTGCAGTGTCTGCAGTCATGCTGGGAGTTTCGGGGCGTCCTGTTTAGAGCTGTGACTATGTACATGGTCTCCCAGTGTGTATGTGTGCCTCTGTGTCCCCGCGTATTGGGACTGAAGCTACTTCTGTCACCCCGTGATGCTGGATATTGAGTGCCCACAGGACGGGGACCACATACAGCCCCGTGACTTTACATCTGTGGCTCCCAGCACGGTGCTGAGCACCCAGGGGTTGCTCAGAAGACAGTAGCAGCAGCGGCTAAAACAAGCTCATCAGCCCCAGACAGCCCACTTTTCCTCAGGGGTTGGGATGGGTGTTGATCCTTGTTAGACGTAGGCCTGAATGCACTGCTTCTCTCTCTGACCTGTGGCTGCTGGGGCATAAAATCTCTCAGGCATCGTGAGTGGGGGTTGACAGGTGTTGGGGAAACTGGAAAGTGAGCGTGGGATCTGCCCTTCCCCTGCTCCTGGCTCTAG